ACTAAGGGCCGCAATAGCAAGATCAACCTGAAAGTAGTTTCCACGCGAGGAAAAAGCAATAAAAACGCCAGAAAGCTATTTCAAATCAATGCATCTTTAAGTAAGTCAAATCAGAAGCGTTTGCGTTCCGTTTGTGACCTTTCTTTYTATTAAAATAGAAAACATCCGGCTCTCCATTTAGTTAAGGAGACAAGTTTTAAATGCGTTGAAACTCCTTTTTTCTATCTCAAAAGCTGTCCTTTTTCACTTCTGTTTTCTCAGTTCCATGTCAATAGCCTCCTAGCACAAAACCAATCAGCGTACACTGTGTCTAATATTCGATAATTTGCACATACAGTGTACTCTGATCGTAATCAATGTTGAGATAATGCAAGAAGGTATATATTTTGCCTAAATCCTTTATTCTAATATGAATATTGTTGTAATACTTTCTTGATTGCGTCTCTATACTAGGTGTTTTGTTTCTGCTACGGCGCTGTCTTCTTCAAGCTTGGGGTAGTAGCAAGTTCGACTGATGCTTGGTTGAACCCGCAAATGTGAGTTGAGTCTGATTGATTAGATGTTATACTTTTCCCCGGGTTCTCCGGGTTTAATCCCTCTCTGTAAAAAAAAGCCGTGTGAATAAGTCAGATTCCGTGTTGTACATGTGAATGCATGAAAATGTTTTTCTGGGTTCTCCGGTTTTCCTCCCTCCGTAAAAACCAACTTCTGAATTCCAATTGGAATCCAGAGGAAGAAGAATCCGCTGTTAATCCCAATACTTATTTATTCATTATTATTTATTTAAAATGTAACGATTAATGATTTATTTGGCGCCCTTAGTCTGTGGTAGTTATATAAATCGAAGGTCCACGGTTTTCACTAGCGACGCATAACTAGCTAGTGAACAAGAATATAGAACGAAAATTACATGTATACGCAAATAAGAAGTTACATATAGGTATTAAAAGTAAAAGGAAGCATTAGCAAAATATTACACATAAACAATATAAGCTGATTATTAGGCATCTTGTGGTTGCGCGCGTTGAAACTTTTCTCACAGTCAAATATTAAAGGACACATAGAATACAGTAATTGTCCTTTTAGTGGTGYCGTTATGCGCTTTGAACCTTTTCTCACATTGAACTAAGGATTTTCGTACTTTTGTTTGTGCTTCTGTCGCTATTGTGAAAACCAGGAGAGAGTTATGGATTTCAGATA